GCGAAGTCCATTTAACGCCACCTAAAGCACATCTAACGGATGTTACAGCGCAACCCACAGCGGCCGCCGACTGCAGCAGTGCCGCAATTTTGTTTGAAAAAGGACAACGGCATAAAATGGGTCGAGTTTACTGAAATTACATTAGCTGAAAGTTTAACATAAATGGCGTAGCACAAGTAATTGAGTTTGTCGATTAAAATAAGGGTGCATTCAAACAATAGGCTTTTTCAGTTCCTATTAGTACCTATTGATCTACAGAAGCAATTTTTTAATCGCTAATTTCTAATATTGTAACGGTAAATTGTTAATAAGGTTTAGGATTATGGATCTTAAGCAGATTAGTCGGTGGAATGCTGAATTATTATAATTATAATATGAGTTGGTGGTATAATATAGTTATCATTTTATTGCAGAATTTGCTTTGGATCTGAAGAGTTATGCTTTTTTAAGTTCGTAACCAACGATTTTACTGCAGGATATATGGCGGTATTACCTGGGGTTTTGTCCTTGAACTGACTTTAAGACAAGATTAAAGCATATGTTCTGAATTATTGCCTTCGCTTTTGGTTACGCGTCTTTTGATTTTTGCTGGTTTTGCTCGAGTCAAAGACGAACCAGCAGTGGAAGTCTAGTGTTAATACCGGTGAGTTAATGATGAAATTAATAAGAATAGTTTAGAATATTATTTGTAGGGCTGGCACTAACTTTAAACAAGTATCAAAATAGCTACACGATGACATGCTTGTTTATATCACTGCACTATTGAAAGGGTTCTACTTTGGTGTTTCACCTTGTATTCAGCGTGTCATTTCACTTGCTACTGCATTGAGTAGAAGACACTGCGAGCATGCGGCCTTGTTTGTTAGCAGACATGCCGATCTGCTGATGCTTGTTTCTAGTCGTAACCTTTTAGTCATACTGTGAAAAGGTCGCTCTAGCAATGCATTTTAAACTCACTGTTTAATAACTGTAGCGTGCGTTAAATTTTTTAGCGTGACGTTTAAGAACGTGTCATAGCTTAATGCTTAAATAAGAATACCACTGGAGGACCACAGCTTCCGACGCCTAGTCTACCTCTGCAGTATTGCTGCATAGTACGTAGAATTACACAGACCTTAGATGGTAGAATGACAATTTTAAGCGAGTCCCGTTAATTTCCATCTGTAAGATGGCACGCAGGTCTGCTCTGTACTGTTTTAATGCGATTAACGGTGGATCACGTCTTCCCGAGCAAGTTAAAACCGGGTTGATAGACGATGGGGCACTGGATTAGTCTGTTCTTGTGTTCCACGTAATACTCGCCAGCTGTCGTTGACAGCTCTCTTCTTTCCGAGTCTCTTCTTTCTTCCAAGAAAACTTCTCAGCGATATTCTTGATTTTTGCTGCGAATGTTCCGACTCCTCGGTCAAATTGCAGTAAATTGGTGTTTGGAAATCGCCTGCGGTTTCTCAGTAACGTCGTCTTGTACTTGAGTTTCCTATTAGGCAGGACGCCAGCGTTTAACGTTCATCTTGACCATTAATCGTGGCCAAACAAACACGCCTTTCTGCAGAATGTTGATTCCAGCACCAACTTTCCGCGTTGCCAGTCCTTCAGAAGCGCCGTGGGCCGGAAAGAGCTTGTTGAGTTACAGATGTGAGCCTCTGATGAGGTCCGTTCTGTTGTTCCTACGATTAGTGCATCTGTGATGGAGCGCGTTATATCTGAGCTGGTTGCCGTATTAACGGCGTTGGTGGTGCTTCACAATGTTACAGGATATGCAGGTGACAGCTGTCGTCATTAAAACTACGTTGGTGCATTGCATTTGTTAAAACAATCACCT